AACAGAATTAATCAGTCCTTGAAGCCCAAGTGAGTGCAGGCAGGTGTTAGCATATGCGAGGGACCTTGGAGGGGAAAGTAAAATAGTGGCAGGGAATATAAAATGCTTTACTGCAGTGGGGACCAAAAGATGGAAAGGACTTTACTGAAGGCAGGCATTTTATGAGCAAATAAAACCTCTGATTGCCTGCAACTGAGAAGCAAACTAAAGTAACGGAAAAACTTCTATGGATTATTTTTCCTCTGCCTTGTTTCAAAATGGAAATCACCTTGTTGTTGCTGCTTCTGTGATTATAAAGTAGTATTTGCTCTGTTCAGACACTGTATAAGGATGAAAGAATGGAATGAAAATCATCCATAATCTTACCACCTCCAGCTAATCACTGTTGGCATTTGGTGTATGTCGGTATAGACATTTCTTTGGGCATATTTTTACATACATGTACAATATGAACAAGATCCTGACAGACATGTGATTTGACAGCCTATGTTTCTCACCTAATAACACACCATGGACATCCTTCCGTATTAATAACTGAAGATCTCGAGCATCATCTTCTCACGGCTGCAGTCTTGGGTGCCATACACATTCTGTGAGATCTGGCTGTTCGCCTCCACAGCATCATCTGGCATCTTCTCCAAGCCTGGCTTTCTGCATTCAGCCACACGGGTCTTCCCTTGCATCCACTTCAGGGACTTAGCATTTGCTGTTCTTTCTGCCTGAAATTCTCCTTTCCCCTCTCACATAATTCATTTTCTTCTCTTCTTTTAAATTGCAACTGAAATGTGTCTTCTTCCAGGAAGCCTTCCTCGATATCTACTACCAAAGCTAGTCACCCCTGTGAGACACACACGATTCCATGTGCTTCACCGTCTTCGTATTTATCACAATTGTAATTAAACAGTTGTAGAACTTTCCCCCTTGTCTTCCCACTAGAAAATAAGCTCCAGGAGGTCAGAGGCTGTGTGTGTCTTGCTCAGCTCAGAAGCTGCAGGGCAAGCACAGTGCCAGGCACACAGGAATCCTTGGTAAATACCTGCTGATTAAATGGAAGGAAGGGAAGGAGGGGCAGCCAGGGAGACCCACCACCTGCAGGTAATGTTCCCTTCCTTCCTTCCTTCCTTGCTTCCTTCCTTCCTCCCTCCCTCCCTCCCTCCCTTCCTTCCACACAAAAGAGGGATCTGCCAGTGGGCTA